AAAATTGCATCAGTAGGAATTAGAATACAATACTGAGACATACAATGTCTTTAAAAATCAAATATACTTAAATGAAAGCAAAATATAAGACGAACACGACGAGCAAATAGGCACTTTGAAAATTACAATGATTGAAAAAAATAAGTCAGTGATGCTAAATTACGTCCAGGAAGGACTTCTTAAATGACGCTGAACTACTTATAACTTGACTTTCTTGTTTTGATTCAGATAGTGTGATATCATACTGGTCATCATCTGCTTTCATTTCATCCTCAATCCTTGAAAAATGCAATTTTACATAGTCATTTCTGTTGAATAGACAAGCCCTTCTTTCTTTTCCCTCAGCGAAAGTGCTTTCCCAGGAAAATTTTGCTATGTACGGATTATTTCGTACCATTTTAGATGCAGTTACGATTATATGTTTATAATCTTCTATGTATTCTTTTTTTAATGCTGGCTTATTATCTGTAATTAAACTTTTCCTTGGCTTTAATGGTTTCTTAATTGCCTCTGGAAAAAGAATAGCTACAGTGTCATTAAAAATAGCTTTCTGATTTTTCATTATTTCTAACATCCTTCTTGCTTTTACCAAACGCTGTGCTTCTAATTCTCTTAGCGGTTTCTCTTGTTCAAATAACAATGCTCTGTCAATTCTTTTTTTTACTGCAATTGTTCTTTCTATTAACTTTTGAATTGTTTTTTGCCATCTTTCCTCAGGCCCAATATATTTCAATCTCTCCAATCTTTTGGCTTCATTTTCTTCTTCTTCTTGTTTTTCTAATTCTTCTTTTGCCTTTCGTCTTTCTTCCTCCTTTTCAGCTAGAAGTAAACCTTCTTTATGTTTTATGTCCAGTAAAATATTTGGGTGCTTTTTTACAAAATCAGCCTGCCAAGTAATATAAGATCTTATAACTTTCAATTCTCGCTCAACCAAAGCTTTCATGCGATCCATATACTTCGGTTTTACCAACATAAATACAGGCGGATATATGAACAACCTAAACGAGCCATTGACGTCACTTACACCTAATATATTTTTATTTAAAGGCAATGTATGTAAGCTAACACCTGTTAGCATAGTTCCTGAGAGCGTTTGTACAGAAACAGGTTTGTCACTTATTAAAACAAGATCCCAAGTTTCAAGGGCCCCTTCAGAATTTGCAAGAAATAGTACACTTGGTTTGTACTGTGACCATACTCCATCTGTCAATCGATATGGACGCCTTTTCCAGATTATTGGTCGACCTTTTAATTGATCAGACCAAATTGCGAATATTTTACCTCCTACAGTCAAAGTAACAGAATCCATATTAGGATTTTTGTGAGTGGCTACTATAGGTCCATCATGTATATTACAACAAAATGTTATGTCACTGAACTCAGCATTAACCACTTCACCTGTATTAAATTCATGTCCTTCCCAAGTTGCACGTGTAAGTCCACCAGTTTGTGTACCAACATAGACATCGTTTCTTCTTCCTTCCAATTCTTGGATTTCACAAGTAAAATATTTTCTACCGCTTCCGTTATTTCTGGGAGTGTAAATATATTTAATATTTGGTGGTGTTGCTGCAAAACTCTTTATAGAATATATCGAAGACTGTCCTGCTTCGCCTATAATTATCTTATATATCGGCTGCAGAATACGGTCTAACACCTTAAGAGGTGAAATATCCACAAGTAAATCTGAAGGTCTATGCGCAATTCTCTTCGATTTCTTTACTTTCTTAGCGCTCAGCAGTAACGTACTATCTACTGATATATCCCAAATTAAAATTGTTCCATCTTCAGAGGTAGTCATAAACTGTATTGGTGATTTGTCGTCAGGTGCTTTTATAGTTTTTCCAGTGGGTGTGACTAAATAATTTGGCGGCACCCATTTGATGCCTGTTACGGGTGCCAAATGACAAGTCATTAAATTACTACAAGCAGTAGCACTTACTACCGCCCTGTCCTGAACTGGTTTCATCCATCCCATATGCGCATTCATTGCGATTCGGTATTTTTCTCTTGTTTCACTCAATACTTCAATTTTTTCCACATTTTCTAGTTTGTGAGTTAAATCCCATACCAAAACTTGTCCATTAATTAAGCCACCAATCAAAATGTTTTCATTAAATGGGCAAAATGAAAGTATTTTGACCTCACGTGGTGCTTCCAAGTATAATTTCGGTATTAAGCTGTCTATGTGGCTCCAAATCATAACAGGGTTTAAACCGTAAACAGCTCTTCGTATTAAATCACGGGGCACAGATGACGAAAGTGTTTTCATAACGGTTGGCGATACATCTGCATACGATATGGCAACAATACCAGACCACATGGGATGAAATGTTGCACATGATACATATTTCTCTTTAGCTCTCACATCTGTAAAGCAAACATACTCATCGAATACCATAGTACCAAGATTTTCCAAATGTTTTTGACTGACAAGGTTTTGGTAATCATTATAATACATATCCATTACTGCATTAAGTTCTACCATAGATTCTAGTTCACTTGATTTAGAGTAAACAAATTTGTTAATTTTTTTTATATACGACTTGCGACGCATTAGTTTCATTGCATTTCTATAGGCAATTAAGCCTACTTCGTCAAAGGATTCTTTTTTCAAAATATTTTCGTCATCTGAACTTATATCATCATCGTCGAGATCTTCAAATAATCTTCCTGCATCGCCACTGCCATCGATATCCCCTATTTTACCTAAAACGTCAGCGATAGATTGAGTCCACTTGTTTTGTGGATATCTCAATTGCGTTTGTGCTACATTATTAAGCACAGGACATGTAATTTGAGATCCACAGTCAACTCTTTTTGCATAAACATTGTTAAATTTTTGCCGATATGGTGTTAACTCTATGAGACCATCTCTTACCTTTTCCGTATCTCTTATATGAAATGCTTCAGGTTGATACTCAGTAGGAAATTTGGCTTTTATTTCCAACTCCATTAGATTCCTGGTATTTACGACTTCCAATTCAGATATTTCTGCTTCACTTCCTAAACTTACCCATGGTCTAGGTTTCTTTTGAACTGCTTTTTCTAATTTCTTTTCCTGCCGTCTAATAAATTTTTGAGATTGTTGCGAACAATGATCCCTTGCCTCAGTTGTACAACATACATAGAATTCATCAATATTCTTCGATTCATCTACTATGTAACCCATGAGCAATTCTTCTTCTGGATAATCCTCAATATGTTCCCTTATAGTGTAGAATTCGGAAAGTTCGACGCCTACATTGATATTTTCCATGATCTTTGCTTTACTCACCATTTTCCATGGATATTGGGCATTAATTTGAAAACCGATTGCCATTTCGATTTGATGTTGTGTTTCATCACCAAGAGTTACTTTGTATACACCAGGAACATCATAGTTAGGAATAAATCTCTTCCTACGAGGTGGAAGTCGTGTTGAACTTGGCAAAGACATCTTATTGAAGTTTGGAAGAACAATAAATAGGAGCACCGAATGAATAACTACAATATCTTTCTGTTTTCAGAATTACATTTGTGGGAGAAAAATAGTGTTTGACTTAAGTGTCATATTCTTCTTAATAATTTTGTTATTAAAAGTTAGTAAAGAGTTTCGATTTCATGTTAGCCACTGTGTAGTTATAGTCGTTTAGGTTTTATAATCATAGTCATATTGTCATGTATTTATATACAATGTGGTTTCGCTATCGTTAGTTTCAATATAGGTATAATATTAGATAGAATTATAAATAAAATATGAAAGAAAAGAAGTGAAATAGTATATTCCATCTGGTAGGTATATGCACTAATTTATCACTGTAAGGTTATTTACACCTATTGAAGTGCCATAGATTTCAGGCACAAATTAACCATACCATAATGCCGTTATTATGTTAAAGCATCAGATTATTTACCAAAAAGAAAATGTGGCATTCTATTTTTACCGACATCTTATAATATAGAGTTAATATCAGCCTGTTCACCTGACAGCCAATAATCAGTGTTGCCATCAGCCATCATGGACACTCGCAACACAAATGCACTCCCAAACTTATATGGTAATAAGAATGGGCTAATGGTTACTACATTTCATGCCAAAATACAAAACAAAGGTTATTGATTTCTTTTCTCTTTTAAAAAACGTTGACCCACACTAGGATTTTCTCGAGTATCGTGAGTGCCTTTACAAAAATACAAGTTCACATACACATGACACCCAGACTCGGAACAACAATTTGTGGGTCACACAAAGAATTGCTCCGTGCGGGATACGAACCCGCGACACGCTGCGCGGCAGCCGTTTGCCCAGCCACCGCATCAACCATGCCGTAAACTTGCCGATTATTTCACGTAAATAAATAAAACATTACTAAAAATTAATTTGTACTATTTAATTAAACATACAACAAGTTAACATAAACATAATTATATTAATAAAATTATACCCTAATAGAAAAATATGTAGAAATAGAGTGGAAAAATATTTAAACAAAACAGCTCAATAATATCATGGACATTTCCATTTATAAAGCATCAAGTACCAGAAACACATGTTCAGAACCCAAACAATAAATTAAAAAAAAATTAAGTTTGAAAATTAAACAGTTCGAAATAGCTATTACAAAATATATTAATTTTAATTCAATCAATGTATTATTTTCTATTGGCAGATAAGCATTCCTGTTTATTGAGATACAAAATTAATATTTCTCTGCATTAAAGATTGAAAAAAAATCTATAAATAAATATACGCCATTTGAATCTATACAAAACTATTCAAAATACACTTTACAAAATTAAAATAAATTAAATCATAATTAATCAAAGATATCCAATCTTAAAATACAATATTATGCTAAAAATAAATGTAATCTTATTTAAACATTTGTAAATTAAATAATTACATGATTAAAAATAATAATAGAACTAAAATTATAAAGTAAATTACTAAACTAAATAATAATAAAAATATTGTAGGGTATAATGAAAAATATTTGATTTCAATGAGGATTTTCTAATCAATTAGTTGGTTCTTCATCTACTCCACCTTCTACTTCTCCCTCTTTTTCTACTTCGGCTTCTGCTTCATCTTCTTCTTTCTTTTTGGTAATATTTTTAACAGGCGCTTTCATTGGATCTCGTTGATTTTGTTCCCCTTCAATTCTACTGTAGTGCATTTTCGCATAATCTTGTTGAATATTCAATGCAGCTCTTCTTTCTTTACCTTCAGCAAGTGTAGCTTCCCACCGAAAATCTGCTTTATATGGGTTTTTATTTACCATAACTCTTGCATTTTCTTTAATGTAACGATATTCAGTTAAATATTCCTTTTTAAGCGCCTCTTTGTTATCGGAAAGCAAACTTTTCTTTGATTTATATGGTTTCTTTATTGCTTCGGGGAAAAGAATGGCAACAGTGTCATTGAAAATAGTTTTTTGATTTTTCATTATTTCTAACATTCTTCTCTCTTTCTCTAAGCGCTGTATTTCTAACTCTCTTAACGGTTTTTCGTGTTCTATTAATAGTGTTCTGTTGATTCTTTTTTTAACAGCAATTGTTCTTTCTATTAATTTTTGTATGATTTTCTGCCATCTCTCTTCAGGGCCCAAAACTTTCATTCGCTCCTGTCTCTTAGCTTCGGCTTCTTCATCTTGCATTTTTTCTAACTCTTCTCTTTTTCGGCGTTTTTCTTCTTCCTTTTCAGCTAATAGTGCACCTTCCTTTCTTTTTATTTCCAATAAAATATGCGGATTTTTCTGCATAAAATTTGCCTGCCACTCTATAAAAGACGTCATAACTTTTAGTTCTCTCTCTATCATGGCCACCATACGTGGTGCATAAGTAGTTTTTGATAGCATAAATACTGGAGGATTAAGATACATTCTGAAAGACCCATTTACGTCACTCACACCTATAATGTTTTTAGTTAAAGGCAAAGTGTGTAAACTAAGCTTTGTAAGCATCGATCCAGCGAGTGTTTGTACAGAAATAGGTTTATCACTTTTTATTAACAAATCCCAGGTTTCAAGATCTCCCTCTGAATTACAAATAAAAATTATACTTGGTTTATACTGCGACCACACTCCGTCTGTTAAACGATATGGACGTTTTTTCCAAATTATTGGTCGACCTTCCAGAGAGTCTGACCAGATTGCAAATATTTTTCCTCCCACAGTTAGTGTTATAGAATCCATTATAGGATTTTTACTTGTAACTACTATAGCACCGTCATGTAAGTTACAGCGAAATTTTATGTCACCATACTCAGAATTTACTGTTTCCCCGGTGTTGAATTCATGTCCTTCCCAAGTTGCACGTGTTAGCTGGCCATGTTTTGTACCGAAATAAAAAATTGAATTCATTGACTCTTCGGTTTCCTTGTCGACTTGACAAATAAAATACTTTCTTCCAGTACCGTTATTTTTCGGAGTATAAATATATTTCACTTTTGGAGCAGATATTCCAAAACTCTGTATTGAGTAACCCCAGGGTTGACCTGCTGTACCTAAGATAATTTTGTAGCACGGCTGAAGAATACGATCCAATACATGAAACGGTGACACGTCTACAAGTAAACCCGAGGGTCGACGTGCAATCCTTTTTGATTTCTTTACTTTTTTGCCTTCTACAAATGACATATCGCCAACTGAAATATTCCATACTAAAATTTTGCCGTCTACGGCTGTAGTTATAAACTGAAGGGATAATTTATTTTCTGGTGAACGAACAGTTTTACCAGTAGGTGTTATTAAAAAAGTTGGTGGTACCCATTTAATTGCAGAAACTGCCGCTTCATGACAATTTAATAGACTGCTACAAGCTGTAGCATTCACTACAGCTCTATCTTGAATAGATTTCATCCAACCCATTTGCGAATTCATAGCTATTCGATACTTTTCTCTGGTTTCACTTAAAACTTCAATTTTTTCAACGTTTTCCAGTTTGTTTGTTAGATCCCATATAATAATTTGTCCATTTATCAAGCCACCAATTAGAACATTTTCATTAAAAGGACAAAATGATAAAGTTGTAACCTCGCGTGGAGACTCTAAATATAGTTTTGATCGTAAACTATCTATATGACTCCATATTAATACCGGATTTAAACCGTAGACTGCTCTTTGAATTGGATCACGACGTGTAGATGTATGCGTTCGCATGACAGTTGGGGAAACATCCGAGTATGAAATTGCAACAATACCAGACCACATTGGATGAAATTCCGCACAAGAAACATACTTGAATTTAGCTCTGACATCAGTGAAACAGACATATTCTTCGAAAGCCATGGTACCAAGCGTATCAATATGTTTCTGAGTAACAAGATTTGGATAGTCGTTGTAATACATATCCATTACAGCGTTTAGCTCTATCATCGACTCCATTTCGGCTACTCGTGATGTCATGAATTTATTCATCAATTTTTGATAAGATGGTCGACGCATACGGGCAGCTGCAGCCCTATATGAACGTAATCCTACTTCATCAATAGGGTGTTTTCTACGGTTAATTTCTTCGTCTGAACTGTCATCATCGTCTCTTTCTAAATCCGTATCGCCACCACCTTCTAGATCTCCGATTTGACCCATTGTATCTGCGATAGATTGAGTCCATTTATTTTGTGGAAATTTTAGATAAGTCTGAGCAACTTGGTTTACGTAAACTGGTCTAATTTGACACGCGCAGTCTATTCTTCGACGGTTAATATTATTAAACCTCTGTCTGTACGGTGTTAACTCAATTAAACCATCTCTAACGGCCTCAGTGTCCCTTACGTTAAACTTCTGGGGTTCATATTCAGTGGGAAACTTAGCTTTTATCTCGATTTCCATTAAAGTTCTTGTATTAATTGGTTCTTGTTCTATTATTTCAATTTCACTGCCCAAACCTATCCAAGGTCTTGGTTTTTTTTGTATTGCTTTTTCTAATTTCTTTTCTTGTCGTCGGATAAATCTGTCTGATTGTTGCTTACAATGATCTCTGGATTCTACTGTGCAGCATACGTAGAAGTCATCAGTGTTATTTGATTCATCAACTATATACCCCATTAATATTTCGTCTTCGGGATATTCCTCAATTTCTTTACGTATCGGAAAAAACTCCGATAATTCACCCCCAAGTTCAATCGATTCTAGGAGTTTAGATTTCTGTACAGTTTTCCAAGGATATTGTGCATTAATTTGGATTCCAACCACCAATTCTATTTGAACTTGTGTTTCTTCGCCAAGAGTTATTACGTGTACACCTTCAACATTATATTTAGGAATGAATCTCTTTCGACGTGGTTGGGGCACTGCCATGGTCGTCGACATTTTTGCTTCTTCGGTCTGAACTGTGAAAAATTATGTTTTATAAATTCGGGTTTTAGAGAAAAATAAAGCGATTCGTATATTATTATGATTGATGATAAATTTTTGACTTCGTCACTATGACGTTGACTCTCATTGACTATTAAAATATTTTGATTTAAATCAAAACTCAAAAACTAATAAGGTCTTAATATGCAGTAGCATGCGAAAAGTTTCATTAAACCATCCGCAGTGATTTAACCGATTTATTTTAAGGATTCATTGCACGTGGTCGTGGACGTTTAAAATTTTGGTATCCTTGTCATATACACTTCTCATACTATTCATTCTTCCCATTTATTTGATCCTGAATTATGGTAAAAAACTGGCCTCTTTTTAACTAAAACTATACAAACACTTATATAGTGACAATATTTTGTAATATACATCATGAACCGCCTGTTCTTGTTCACTGTTAGACATAGGCTTCGCCAATGGCATACCACTGAGCTCTATCTTCAGCTCTACGCATCCAACCACACATACATACATAGTAAATACATACATAGTTTTATACCTTTAGGGGCAATTAAATCTACAGAAATAATGATATCCCTAAGAATTAGCAATTCTTTGCCGCTATAATCCTGACAAAGTGATTTAAATTCATGCGAATATCATTTATTTATTCAGTTTTCTACATTACTTTATTAATATGGTGTTGTTTAATATAATATCCTTTGTTTGAAAATGGTCTACGATGTCAACCCTGTTACCCTTATCATTGTAAAAGTGTCAGATCAGTTCTCTCATGGGACTTTCTGCCATCTGTCTCCTACCATCCAGTAACTACCTTTGGAGATACTTAGTTATCTATTTTCGAGATGATATATTAATTTACTATTTATCTTTTGGTTTTGCTCAAATATTTTTACTATTTTTTTTTATTATGACTGTATATTACTCGGACGTTTTACATCAGCGAGCGATTAATTCGTCGGTTAAATTAATATCAATTCCAAATAAAAATTTGATTAGTTAAAATATGAAAAAAAAGAACATAACATAACATCACGCCTTTTATCCCGAAGGGGTAGGCAGAGGTGCACATTATGCCACTGTACAATGTAACACCCACTTTTCACTATTTATGTTACGAGTCCCATGTAATAGGAGGTGAGCGTATTGCCATATACCGGGGCAATTCCAGACTCCGTGCTACTACTGAGAATTTTTTTAAAAACCCAGTAATACTTTGCTTGACCCGGGAATCGAACCCGAGACCCCTTGCTCGGCAGTCGCACTTGCGACCACTCGGCCAACGAGGCAGAAAAAAAAGATATAGTAATTATTCAGTACCTACCCCTTAAAATCTCCACAATAAGGTCTGCAAACCTTATAAATAAATTGCTTACTCATTTTAAACCTTACCCGCTTGCACTAAAGTTTCTGCTTGCTTTTCTTCTTCACTTGGTGGTGGTGCCTTTTTGACTTCTTGCACTTTAGATTTGATATCATCATCATCATCATCATCTTCTTCATAACCACCTTCTGAAGAAGAAGATCGTTTTGGCTGTGGTGGAACTTCCTCATCACTAGAGTCTTCTGAATCTCCGAACATTTTGTAGACTGACTATAAAACAGAAATAATTCTAACTTCACCATGAACAGCTCATAACATTCGCTACTAGATCAGGAGCCTTTCTTTAAGAAATATTTAGACATGAATAAGCCGAATAATTAGGTATGCAATCTAAATTTAGGCCGGTAACGCACTTATAACGCCTCTGGTGTTCCAGGTGTCACTAGGCGATGCCGATTGCTTACCATCAGGTGACCCATCTGCTCGTTTACCGGCTTATCCGTATCATAACTTTTACAAAACACATTTTGTACAAAAATATGCTTACAAAAACACTAAACCTGAAAAGTAGTATTTGGAGAACATTTTTAGATAAAATGAATATGCAGCGCCTTGAATATTAATAATAGCAAGTTGTATTTTAAAGTAACATTGCTCTATTATTAACTTGATTAGGACTTCGACTGCCAATAAAAAACTGTTGAAGGTAAATCCTCCGCTAATGCCGGTCAACGGTGACCCCCATTACGTTTAACGTGTTAAGATACCTTTTTACTAGTTATTGGGACTATAGTTTATTACTAATAGATAAAAAATAAACAACAAAACGCGACTGTTAAGTACACAGAAACAAAAAACCGTGATTACTGTCCAATATTTTACACACTTTCACCAGGCGAGATAGTGGTCAAACGTCGCCCAATCAAATATATAAAAAAAACACTAATTGCCTACCTACAAAACAAGCAACTACAAAACAATAACACAACAAAATACATACCTAATTAAAGCGTGTCGACAACAACATTATTTATTTTTTCTCTTATTCATTTAGCTCGCTGGATAAATAAAACAATGTAATTATAAACACAGAGAGATACTCGGAACTGTACGGGATTTTACCATTATTAGGTATCCTGTTTGTAAACAACACGGTAAGACAGCGCATGCGTAACATTGGCCTGGCACTACGTGGTACCAACGTGTAGTAGTAACCCTATTTAAAAAAATGGTTTATAGGTATGCGCTATTGTTTTATTGATTACTTTTTTTGGGAAATAGTAAAATTGCTCGTATAGTATTTATCAGCTGTTACCCGCGACTCAAAGTCAAAGTCAAAGCATTTATTTCAATTAAACTATAATTTTGGTACTTTTGAAACGTCAACAAATACACAATAAATAATAGTCTGCCAGTTAGTCCGTCAGTGAAGCTAGGTGAAGCTAGGTGCTCATTCCAAAATATAGATTCGAATGGAGAAGAACGAGCAAGAAAATCCATTCGTTACTCTTTTTTTTTTTCTCCGTCGAATATGATTTCTGTTTTATCAGTAAGTCAGCCAAGATTTTAATGAAATTTAGTATAGGTACAGGCCGGGTATGGACTATGGGTGCATATATAAATTTCATCAAAATCCGTTCAGTAGTTTCAGCGTGATTGACGGGCAAACATCGAAACAAAGAGACTTTGACATCTATAATATTAGTGTGACATTCGCGTCCATTCTGACCAACGACGTAAAAATATTTTAAGATTGAAGTGAAAGCTATCGTGTTTTTCTTCTCCTGATGCGGGAACCAAGACAGTTATTCATGTCCCTGGGACGTTAGACTTCAGTGTTCCGATGTATTTAAGTTTTTAGTACATTACTAATACCTAAGTTTGTGCATCTCTGTCTGGCCGTCCAGCAAATAAAAGACACGATATTCTGTTTTTATTATAACTATCGTGAGACACACTAAATTAAGTAAAATTGCGGGTTACTCACATGAATATACTGAAAAAAGTTCTACTAGTTTCGAACCACAGAGGGGTTCTTCATCATGAGCAGCGTGCGCGGTCACGTCTGTGGTTCGAAACTAGTAGAGCTTTTCTCAGTATATTCCCGTGAGTAACCCGCGATTTTAGTTAACACGATATTACGGTTTGCCAGCAACATCAAACTAGTTAGTACTTACTTACATCAAATACCAGTTGCAAAGAAATACTAAATCATCATTTTAGTTACACTAAAAACTGGCGGATACGTTGCCAGTCAACTCTGCAATTTATTTACAATAGACTAAGCCTTACAAATCGTTGGCACATAGCCAGTCTGCATTCTAGACTATACAAGTACCTATCCATCTAGTACAAAGAATTTAGTTTACGCAACGTAGTTATAATATTTTTTTAATGGAACAGAATAAAATTATAACCTTCCAAAACCGCTGCAACTCCTATAAGCCAGGATCTACAGTAGATACAACCATAAAAACACCGGAACACTAAAGTCGCAGCGCGCCTGAGAGACGAGAATAAATGTCTTGGATCCCGCAATGAAATCAATCATAAGATATTATTAGAGGAGAAGAAAAACGATAGCTTACTATTATTATTATATCTCTAAAAAAAAATATATCTCTATAAAAGATTTCGTGTAGTTAATAGTTCATCATAATTATTGCCATTGTCAATTCTTGGATATAAAAGTAGGTACATGTAGGCATTTTTACCCGAAGACACATAAAATGAAGCATTTAGTATTCACCACTTAAACTGTCAAACACCAAGCGGTCACCGGTGACCGCAACCTATTGTTCTATAATTGTGTCTACAAAACCGGTACTCGACGAGTTAAGTACGTTATCAGTTTATACCAGAGTATTGCTGAACATTGGCAATTGCTCTAGGCTCTGTGTTTTAAATTAAAAAAAAAATTGTTACCCGGAGTTAAACTCAAAATCCCTTGATCAGTAGTCACTGTCACCGGTCAGTTAACCAACGACGCCCTCTAATGTATATTTAACCAAACACCAATGTTACAGCTGGGGCCCAAAGATCAATTTCAACCCTCTAAATAATTCATAGCTTTAAATAATTTAAGATTTGATTCATCTGTCCCTTGTTGCCCTTTCAAGCCTATAACATAGTTTCATTCTTCAATACATTAGAGGTAGCCCTATATTTATATAAAAATGTAATGTTCTTTGGCTGCCCTCAAATAAATGGAAAAAAAAAAGTTTGGTAGCTTCAAAATTTAATACCATTATTTTTACACTAAATGTCCAATCATGTATGCAACTGTTTTTAAGCCAGTCCCTCACAATTTGTGAAAAATAAGTCGTCTACATGCAGATTTACGTTGCTATTAACTCAACAAAATGTATAAAATATTTAAGAGAAAATCATGAAAATACCACGTATATTTTAATCCCACACCCCGAAGCAATAATATTCATAAATCTATTTCTTATTCTCGAAAATCTATAAGTAACCCCAAAAATGTCAATAGCACCCAGCTTAATCCTTCTGAACGCGCTTAAAACCGCTCTCAGACCCATAATGCTCGTTGTTGGAAAAAGGCTTAAAGCTGATAAATTGTTTCAGACTGCCCTGTCTCGACGGAAGGAGTCTGCGGCTCCATTGACGGGGGAAAGAGACAGTACAATATTCCGACATGGATTTGGATATCCTCTCGCCCTGGTGTTAAGACTACGAGTTTTACAGGTGAGTGTATAGTAAATAAATAGAATCTAATTTATCTAAAACTTCATAACAAAACAACACGCCTTTTATCCCCGAAGAGGTAGGCAGTGGTGCACATTATGTCACTTAATGCCACCGTACAATGTAACACCCACTTTTCACTATTTATGTTATAAGTCCCATGTGATAAGAGGTGAGCTTATTGCCATTTACCGGGCACAATTCCAGACTCCGTGCTACTAATGAGATTTAAAAAAAAAAAACAATAATACTGTGCCAGACCCGGAAAACGAAACATTAAAGTATTTGGTAATAATGAATCTCAAAGCATCCTTAACAATAAATCTAATCAACATTAATCACCGAAAATCCTGTCAAGAACCCCATTTGCAAAAGGATCTAACACATTAAACAGAAACGGATAAAACAGATCATTTTCCCTTACACCATCAATCGTATTGGTCAACAGCCCTTCGAACGTACTATTTAGTGCCTAAGCCTATTGTCATACCCAGCTTGTATACAAAATTTCGACAAAATCTGTACAGTAGTTTCAACGTGATTGATGACCGAACATCCAAACAAAGAGACTTTCATATTTATATAATATTAGTGTGATTCCTGTGGCACTAACAGAAGTGCAATCACTGATATACAAGAAGTTAGATAAAATAAGACATATTAAGTTATACATATCCCTAGTTGAATCTAACTACTTTACGAAATTACGACACAATTATTCACCCACTAAATTTATTCCCAAAGGCATATTTTACATAAGCATCAGAATTTAATTTCTAACGAATAAAATGTTCAAACCTGTCACTTGCGGTAGAAATATGATGAACGACATTCATTGCTAAAGCTCTAGTATAGGAATACTTCCAATACATCACGATGAATTGCCACCAATGACAGCCCGTCTTCTCTCTTTTTACCATTCGTTGAAAGATCTACTGTTATTGATCTGTATTGTGAAGGTTTAATTTGAGTATAGACATGGTATTTCGTTAAAAATGTTTATTTAATGTTTTGCTACAATAAGTCGGATTAAACCCATTTGGGTGTTTTTTCTCGTTATATAGATAATTATCACAATCTGTTCAACGGTTAATGTTGACAAGAAAGAAAATAAAACACAACAAAAGAAGATTCAATAGTAGAGTATTTCAATATGAACAACATTGAACACATAACGGGTTTGGTTTAATTATAAAACCTGATATGAATCGGCAATAATTTTATCATCACATTTACAAGAGGTAGTTGCTTTTTTAAAATTCTCCCAGCAACACGAAGTCTTGTGTATATGGCACAGGGTTAATATTCAATAATTCAAAATTCAAAAGGTATTTATTTGCGTAAATAAGGTGCAGATAGTTGTCATTTTCCAATAACTTAGGTCCTTTTTTATTTTGCCTTCAACATCGGCATGCAAAAATAATGTAGGTACTTAATTATGTAGGTTATACTGCCATCTCCAAGAAAATTAAGATTAAAAGAGAATTTTATAAAAGAGAAAAATGTTACAAAATTAACCCGAAATGTAAATATATAAAACCCATAATGTATGCCAAGAAAATAAAGAATAAATGATTTAACTCGTCGAGTACCGGTTTTGTAGACACAATTATAGAACAATAGGTTGCGGTTGGTGTTTGACAGTTTAATAACAATTTTCATCTTAAGTTGGTATTAACTCTCTTCAAAGCTACACTAAAACAAAAACGATTCCCAACACCAAGTGTAGTACACAGAAGTCTTCAAGAAGAAATACTTCAAGACCATCTGCGGGAACAGACCAATGAGCAACGATATAAAAACTACGCTCTCAAACTATTGCAAGCAAAACTTTTTGTTCTGCACAAGTTTCGTATACTTCTTAGATGACTATCTAGACAGTTGAACATACGTTTATCTAACAATAAATTGCTATTATATTCTTTTACGCGTTTTTTTATATGGCACAAGCCGGTAAACGAGCAGACGGATCACCTGATGGTAAGCAATCGGCGTCGCCTTGAACACCAGAGGCGTTACAAGTGCGTCACCGGCTTTTTAGGGGTTAGGAGTTTGAGGACCGTTGGGGATTCAGGGATTGGGGAGATTGTAGAAGGGGGAGGTAATTGGGCCTCCGGTAACCTCACTCTCACGACGAAACACAACGCAAGCGTTGCTTCACGTCGGTTTTCTGTGAGGGCGTGATATCACTCCGGTCGAGCCGGCCCATTCGTGCCGAAGCATGGCTCTCCCATACTTCTCCCACACGCGTAACATTAGTATGACTTCGTCATTATGGGTGAAAATTAAGGAGCTCACTTCTCAAACTCTTTCGAGTTCGGAACCTGAAAACCTATTTCCTAGTTACATGTTTTTTAAGTTTCTTTAGACACCATTGACATAAATTGGGGAAGGGATACACAGCATCGCGGCAAAACTTGAAATTAAAATTATGCTGTACTTAAGTCTAAAATTGGCATTGAGCGTAGTGAGCTATTTTCATTTCTTCTGTATAAGAAAAGACAATTGCTCAGCAGCTTTAAAAACGATTGAATATTTGCATCTGTATCTAACAGTCTAACACCTTTTATTTTAGCTTTGTCATCATGCGTTACTATACCAAACTGTAGCTAGTTTGGTAGACCTTCTTTATAGTTAATATTTAGACAGATTAGAACCTTACACATCAGACATGATTGTTATAATTACAATACGAACACAGCCTCTAACATCCAATTTAATATAAAACACCCAAAAGTATATAGGAAAGACCCAAAACAAACAGAACCCTTATTTGATCTGGAAATGAAACAGAAAATATCAAATGCACATCCTCGAGGAATGTAAATATTGGTTGGAGGAAATCGTTGCCATGGCAACCGTAGCCGTCGGGATAACAAGTTGTTTAGTGGAAAGAATTCAATTTTATTTTTCGTGCTCTTTCCATGAGATCTAGATGGTTGTGTTTTCACAGAGATCAAGGTATCACTTGTGAAGTGGTTTCCTTATTTCAATAAGGAATTGGGTTTTTGTTAGGGATTTTATTTACAAAACTAACTTTAGGTAACCTTCCTTGCCTAGAGATTTGTTGATCAAGTTGCTTTTAGTTTTGATATCTGCTCATTTCTGGTATAAGGAAATAATCATAGGGTTTATCGATTCCGAAATATTAGGATGATAGTCAAGTCCAAGATAATATTGGGACTGCTAAGGCAAAAACAAAATTAAATTCTATGTAAACAGAAGTCGTACTAAAACTATCGAAATACAAACACAGAGTCCAGCCATTGCCCCATAGGGGTAACCCAAATCCCACATAGCCTCGCGTCTAACGATCTTGATAACGTACTTAAACTGAGAAATAGTGGGTATAAAAAAACATGGCTATATTTTACAATCTAATTAAGTTGTAGCGGGTCTGTACTACCTAAGTATTTATAGCTATAAGAAAGACAGACTACAGACAATTTCATTCAAGACTAGACGATAGAAGATTGCTCATTAGCCGCAGAAGACACTCAAGTTCTTCGATAAAGCCAAGCAATTATTATTGATTGATCATTCACTTCGCAAGTGCCACCCAATAAGACTCGCATTGAATATTCATAACCTAGACGGCAGTATACAAAAAAATGTCCCTTCGTATCAATATTAAATTTGGTTTCTGCGGTATTGTGTGGTTCGAGATAGATTGGCGTCGTTTTGATTCTGTTTGGATAATTTATTTGGTTGTGTTTTATTGAGTACATTGGAGAAGTTTTATTCTTTAGTAGGTAGTAGTATACCAAAGTGAAATAATTCATGAATGTTCCTCACCAGTTAATAATAATATAAGTCAAATCAAAATTGCTCATATTCTTCAAAGTGGGTGGCAGAAGTACGTTTTATATTACACTCTATTTCCGATAGGTATGCGCCGTTTACCCTCTGAAGGACAATCACATATTAAAACATCGGATAAAGTTACAGATCTTATGTTAATATAAATAAAAACTAAAATCGTTTCGAGGATTCAGGACTGATTAAGACTGTCTTAACTCGAAGTCATCTAACAATATAACGGTAACTGGTTCCCTGAGTCCGTATTAATCCCATTTCCTACCACTAAAGCTAAGGATAAATATCACAATATATATCCTAGTTACTAATATCTGTTATCCCAATATCTAACGTATCATCAATCTGTTCCCTTGTGTAAGTGAGGATAAGATGGGATGTCAGACAGACGTTCATGTGAAACATATTATGGCAAATATCCTGAACATTCCCATGTCACTATGATTGATGTCTCAATATTTTACTTACGTACATGACGTGTAGGTTCATGGGTATGTATTTATGGTGAGTGTTTGAACGTGGTGTGATAATTTGTGAAAACGTGGTCTTTTTTAGGTTTTTTTTTCTTCAATGGAAAAACGTTATGTAATATTACCTATCGCTCATAATTATGTAATGCTGATGCCTGATTGATGATTATCAAATTGCGTTTTTAGATATGAGTCTTAGATATGATGGAATAAAACTATGACCAGTTTCAGCAACATTATTAATAGCTTTACCGGAGGCCCAATTATCCCTCCCCTCTTCTCCAATCACCCAAATCCCTGAATCTCGGACAATCCTTAAATTCCTAATCCCCAAAAGGTCGGTAACGCACATGGCACATCTCTGGTGTTCCCGGTGTCCATGGCGATCCGGTGATCCGTCCGCTCGTTTACTGGATTATCCCATAAAAAAGCTAAAATTGTATTATTTTCAATGGCAACTACTTGTGCTAGGTAACCTTTATCTAATATGCTAGGTAGTAAATAATTATTTAATCATTATTTCGATACATATTTATACTACGTCTACTCCCAGAAGTGGCCTAACCAAAAATAGATTATCCCTACCGATTACGAGAGCAGCTGATACCTTCATGTAAAATTCAGACATTCAGTAGACTCAAGTAAGACTCATTCCTAAATTCCTAACCGTTGTTCTCAAACCATTTAGGAAAAAAGGCCAGAGGAATATTGTCC